GTTCATTAGGGAGTAATTAAAACCAGCCTTCATTAAGTAGACGCTATCCTAAGATTAGCAATAATAGGACTCCCAGAGAACAATGAGACTAAAGTTCTTCCTTTTTTTTTTTTTTAAAGTAAACCCTACCCTCAAGGTGGAGCTCGAACTCATGACTCCCAACACCATGAGTCGCATGCTCTATCGACTAAGCCAGTGAAGCATCCCTGGACTGAAGTTCTTTAGTACCTGCATCTGTAAGTCTCTTCACCAACTGGGCAACAGTGGATCTCTTCTGACCAATAGCAACGTAGATACAGTATAGCTTCTTCTTTTCATCAGTTCCATCATTGAAACGTTTCTGGTTAATGATTGTGTCAATAGCAATTGATGTTTTGCTTTAAAAAGAGAAAGTAAACATAAATCTTGGTAAGTACTTCAAAGGATTTCTCAACTTAAGATTTCAGTATACTGGGGCGCCTGGGTGGCTCAGTCGGTTAAGCGACTGCCTTCGGCTCAGGTCATGATCCTGGAGTCCCGGGATCAAGTCCCGCATCGGGCTCCCTGCTCAGCGGGGAGTCTGCTTCTCCCTCTGACCCTCCCCCCTCTCATGCTCTCTCTCTCAAATAAATAAATAAAATCTTAAAAAAAAAAAAGATTTCGGTATACTACTTCTAATCCTCATCACATTCCTCTCTCTCCGTTATATCCAAAGCATTTATCATTCCAAGCATAAAAGTAATCTTTCCACAAGTAAATTTTACTTAGAATGTTTAACAAGCTTTACCCAGTCTGTCGGTCACCAATAATCAGCTCACGCTGACCACGACCAATTGGCACCAAGCTATCCACAGCCTTAATACCAGTCTGCATTGGTTCACGCACAGAGATTCGAGGAATGATCCCAGGGGCTTTCAGGCCAACTCGCCTACGGGTCTTGGAACCAATTGGACCCTGTTATACAATAAAAAGGAGCCCCCAGAACAATCAGTTTTGACGTCTCTTAGAAGCTACAACCACATCTGATAGCTACAACCACACCTAATAACTGTTAAACGTACCTTTCCATCAATGGCGTTACCAAGGGCATCTACAACACGGCCCAACAGCTCCTCGCCAACTGGAACATCCACAATGGCTCCTGTTCTCTTCACAATATCTCCTTCCTTAATTAGTTTATCATTTCCAAACACGACAACACCAACATTGTCAGGTTCCAAGTTCAAAGACATACCCTACACAAAAGATACAATTGAACCCCCATGAAGCCTGAGTAGTACTTCTTCCCCTAAGTCAACACTACATGATATGAAAACAGCTAGTTAAAAAAAAAAAAAGTAGACTTGTACTTTAGATCTGATTTACTCAAGTATTTTTACAACAAACAACCTTCTTTGATCAAGACTTAAAACAGCAACATGTTCCCTTGAATCCTCTTAGGATAGCATTATGATAAGCCTAACATGCTCCTTTACTGCATCCTCAAAAGAACTAAAAGAAGCAAAGAAACTGAACAGGTCAAGCTTTTTCCACTGCATTTCTTTTGTCAATGGCTTTTGAACCGGGTGATCAGCATGAAATAAAATGATCAACTGGAAATTTTAAGACACAGTTGATTTGCATCTTTTTATGTGAGTAGCACCACAAACAGTTAAAAAAATTATGAGAACTCATCAGGTTAGTAGAAAGTGAAATTAAAAGCTACCCAAACAAGGACAAAATGCCATAATGTAACAGTGGTGGGTCATCTCTCATCATTACAACTTTAATTCAAAATATAAAATTTTTAGGTCCCTAATCATTACTAAGGAAAAAGGTTATTCCAGGAACTGAGTCTGGTCAGTAATTAAAGCTCTGTAGAAGTACTTAGAACAAATAGAGGAGTATCATGGAATATCACTGCAGGTAATGTTCAATACAGCAGTCACTAACCACATGTGGCTACTTAAAATTTGAATTAATTAACACCATCTTACCAGAAGTCAGAGACACTTACTTTTCTCTCCAATTAACACATGTCTACATACCACCCACTCTTTCTCTGCGTGAGAAACTCCACACTGTACACACTCAATATCCTCACATGTAAAATAGTTATTATACTTAAACAGCACAGACATAAAATATTTCCATCATTGCAGAAAGTCCTATTAGACAATACTAGACTCTTAGATCTTTAAAGTTAAAAACGAAACTCTGAGTTCATTTATTTCAGCCTCACCTTTCAAAGTTTTGTAACACTGAAGATACGAGAGGCTAAATTTTTAGCCAAGGTCTAACAGCTATGGAGAAAACTTTTGGCTCTATAATTATTCTTCCATATTAAGGCTTTTACCATACCGGTCACTAGTCAGAGGACCAAGACTATCTTTTCCCATGTGTGCTAAGTGGGTAAACCTACTCCCCCTGTTCTATCCAGATATCATGCTGCTTTCCTCAGAAAACCCATGACTCCTACCATTTGTTTTCATCCCACTGGCCAACTAGGCTCAACCTAATGGAAAGGAGACTTCTATCATTAGCTCCTGATAACTATACCACTAGCTTAACAATAATAGGTCTACTCTTACAAGAAATACAAAGTCAATGACTTTCAACTTTCCACCAGAAATCAATTTAGTTGGAAGTTATCTAATGCTTTTATATGATCTTAATGGCTATAAAAAAGACTTCTTAGAATTTGGCTGAAGGTTTAGTCACTTTTTTTATTTCAGCACCAGTGGCTACAATTTTTGTACACATCAGTCCCTAGAGTAAAAACTTTGGTAACCAAGACCCTTAAGTTTATTCTTTTCACAATCTATGATAATGACTAAATACTGAAGAAGTTGAGATTTAAAGTTAAAATACAAAAAACACTAGCACAATCTCTGAATTACTAAATGAGTAACTCAGAAACCAATCCTAAAACACCAAAATCTCATTTTACCTTTAAACCTGAAGAAAACTCTACCATTTCTTCTGCCTGAACATTTCTCAGCCCATGTACACGGGCAATACCATCACCAATGCTTAGGACACGCCCCGTCTCTTCAAGGTCAACAGAGGTATCAGCTCCAAGAATACGCTCTTCAAGGATAGAGGACACTTCGGCAGTGCCTATTGAGAGAAAAAAATCCATTGCAAAAATAGCCTTGTCTCAAATAGCCTTGTCTCAAGATCTTTTTTAAACCCACTTTACCAACAACATAAAAACTAAAGTTTTATAATCACAATAACCAAATTATTCTAAAATGTAAAATGCATGATTCTATTCAAGCTTGATATTTACCACTACTATAAAAACAAATCCAAGTGATGGACAGAAAATTTCACAAGACAAATGTAAGCCAGGTAAGAAGCTAATAAAATTAAGCAACACCATTATAGTAAGAATTTTCATCGTCTACTCATTTGGTTTAATTTCTAAGGAATTTATATCTAAGGAATTAATATCTAAGGAAGTTGAAACCTGACTTTTTGGCTAAACTCTGCAGGAAGCTTAAAAATGCAATCTATTTTTTTTAAGATTTTATTTATTTATTTGAGAGAGAATGAGAGAGAGAGAGAGCACATGAGAGGGGGGAGGGTCAGAGGGAGAAGCAGACTCCCTGCTGAGCAGGGAGCCCGATGCGGGACTCGATCCTGGGACTCCAGGATCATGACCTGAGCCAAAGGCAGTCGCTTAACCAACTGAGCCACCCAGGCACCCTATTTTTTTTTTTTAAGTAGGCTTTACGCCCAGCATGGAGCCCAATGCAGGGTTTAAACTCATGACTCTGAGGGGCGCCTGGGTGGCTCAGTCGTTAAGCATCTGCCTTTGGCTCAGGTCATGATCCCAGAGTCCTGGGATCGAGTCCCACATTGGGCTCCCTGCTCAGCAGGAAGCCTGCTTCTCCCTCTCCCACTCCCCCTGCTTGTGTTCCCTCTCTCGCTGTGTCTCTGTCAAATAAATAAATAAAATCTTTTTAATAAATAAGTAAATAAATAAACTCATGACTCTGAAATGCAGACCAGAGCTGAAATCAAGAGTGGGACACTTAACCAACTCAGCCATCCAAGCACCCCAAAAATGCAATCTATTTTTAAAAGAAACCGTTAACAAAGTATGAATATCTTTCCCTTTATAAAGACATGCAAATACTTACTATTCTTCGTCTTAGCGTGTGCAAGATTTATGTATTCACTTGTTTAATCTTTAGTTCAAAGCCCCACTCACACATTCCCAAAGGAATTCCCTAACCTACAGAATCTTCCCATGCTCACCTCCCCACTTCTCTATTTGCAATGTGCAGATTTATACGTTGCCACGTACAGATTAGCAGCAATTACCTTCAAAAAACATAAACGTAAAGGTTTTCTAATATTTTTTAGAAGAGGAAAAAGAAATCTTTCATAGTCCAGAAAGGATGCCCACCACCTGATATGTGTACTTTCTGTTTCTACCCAAGGGCTATTGTATCAGAAAAAAAAAAAGCTGTAGTATCATGAAAAAAGAAATATTTCACTAGAACAAGACAACCTACCAAGAAAAAAGGGCTAAATGGCACATTACAGGCAAAGAATCTGATATTTACAGTAACTAAAATTAAGAGAAAAAAATTAACAAATGAAAATAAAAAACGGGGCACCTGGGTGGCTCAGTCGTTAAGCGTCTGCCTTCGGCTCAGGTCATGATCCCAGGGTCCTGGGATGGAGCCCCGCATCGGGCTCCCTGCTTAGTGGGAAGCCTGCTTCTTCCTCCCCCACTCCCCCTGCTTGTGTTCCCTCTCTCGCTGTCTCTCTCTCTCTGCCAAAAAATAAATAAAATCTTTAAAAATCTATAAATTAATTAATTAAAAAAATAGTGGATTAAAAAAAGAAAAGAAAAAAAAACAACAGTTCTGTAACCTATGTAACTTATTCTTTCCCTTATTGACAAAGCAGTAAGTGTGGTGTATGTAGACTTAGAAATAATGACTTACCAATCTTCTGAAGACGAGTGTTAGAGGCATGGAGGTTCCTTGCAGCAATGAAGGAGGATCCCAAAGCATTTTTGGAGACCTAGTGCATAAACAGTTTTAAAAAGTTTATTTAAAAGGGGCGCCTGGGTGGCTTAGTCAATTAAGCGCTGCCTTTAGCTCGGGTCATGATCCCAGGGTCCTGGATCCTTGATCAACTTATCAGTGAAAATATTAATTGTATTCAAAAATATTCTGCTTAAAACTGGAAAGCTAGTAACCGCATGACAAAGTAGCTTTTGATATGTGCAAAAATGTTATTAAGCAGCTCCTGGTAACACTGTATTTTATAAAAGGCATATTTTAAAAACCAACAGTTACCAAATTATCTTTTCTTTTAAAGGCATCAGGTACAATTATTTCATCTTTTTTTTTTAAAGAAATCCCCTTTATTTCTTTTTTTAAGATTTTATTTATCTATTCATGAGAGACAGAGAGAGAGAGAGAGGCAGAGGGAGAAGCAGGCTCCCAAGGAGCAGGGAGCCTGATGCGGGACTCGATCCCAGGACCCTGGGACCATGACCTGAGCCGAAGGCAGACGCTTAACCATCTGAGCCACCCAGGCGCCCTATTATTTCACCTTTAGATATATTTCAGTTGAACTGTGGATATTCTCAGTAAGATAAACTGCTTCCTAAAAGGGGGAAATATCAAGCCATACCTATTTTACTTTAAAAAAATTAAATTAGTAAATGTTCAAGTTTGATTAGAAATTAAGCATGGTTGGGGCGCCTGGGTGGCTCAGTCGTTAAGCGTCTGCCTTCGGGTCAGGTCCGAGCCCCGCACTGGGCTCCCTGCTCGGCGGGAAGCCTCTTCTCCCTCTCCCACTCCCCCTGCTTGTGTTCCCTCTCTCGCTGTCTCTCTCTCTGTCAAATAAATAAAACCTTTTAAGAAAAAAGAAAAGAAAAAAGAAATTAAGCATGGCTGTGGACTGTTTTTTCCTGGTCAACAAAGCCTACGACAATCTGGACCCCCTCCTTCTTCAAGTTGTAATGCAGTGATTGGTCACTGTCAATTCTGAACCTACTACTTTTTATAGGACCAGATGAAAACTGTTAAAAATGTTCTTTTGCGACTACTTGTATTAGAACAGTAAAACAGCCAGTGTTTACATGTTTAAGATGGAAACTGATACAATGTCTAAAATGGAAAAAATAAGTAAATGTAAGCCCTAACTTCAAGGCAGATAAGTAAGGAAGGGAACTGACCTTTACAGGCATTTTCCAACCTATATTCTATCTTAAGCTCTCAATTACTGTCTAACGATTCCTCAAGGACGAAATCTTAAAACAAGTCAAAGTACAAGACAAAGCAAAGTCTTCTTTCTGCCTGAGACAATTTAGGCTTCACTGCTGTCACGGTATCGGCCACATGAAATGCACATTTGCACTGTACGGCCTTTCACAATCGTTGCAGTGTTCAGCACTGAGATCGCCTACTAAGTATTCAGAAAAGCACCTTCATTTATGGCTTTCCCCCGAACCGACCTCCGGGCAGAGGTGAAATGCCGCGGCGTCCTGACCTTCATACAATGTCAGGCTTCCCTAGGTCGCTTCAACTAGAGCTACCAACAGTGCTCTGACCTTCAGCGGGGCAGTCCCGGAGAAGCAGCGGGGACAAGCCTCGCCGTTTCAGAGCAGGTGTCGGAGAACTAGCGCCCCAGCCCTGACCTTCAACCAAGGCCCCCTCTCGGACAGCTCTCAACTGAAGTCGTGAACACCCCCTGAGGCCCCATCTCTGCACAGCATCGAGGTCACCACCTCCCCTGCACCGCTCAACACCGTCCCACAAGGATGGCGAGCAACAGGGCCCTTGCGCCGCGGCCCAGTCCGAGGCCGAGTAGCCAGCGGTGCAAGATGGCGGCACCCGCCAACCCCTCACCCTCCATGCAGCAAGAGCTCCCGAATCAGTACATCACCAGCCACCCGCCGGGCCACCTCCCTTCCGCCGGTTCCCCGCACTCACCAGTCCGGCCCGCCGAGGGAGGGCGCGGGCCACGGCCGCCGCGACGCGCACGGACAGCATCTTTGCACGTTCTCCTTGAGTTGTTTCTCTGCAGCCGCAGCCTCTGGACTGACTGGGACAAAATGGCTGACCGGCGAGGAAGGTCAAGGCAGCATCCCACCTGACCCGGAAGTACCGCCCCTCGCGTTCACCCCCGGATGCGAATCTGCCTTTTGCGGGACGGTTGGGGAGGAGTTACTTTTTTAAAGTACCGTTTTTAGATTTAAAATTAAAAATGAGCGATTAGACCTTTGTCAACTTCGGCCCAGGCTTTCGTTACAGATTTATTTTGACCTATTGAGTTGACCTTGTGGTTGCCCCTGGCGACCATGTGGGTAGTCGAACCCCCTACAAAGAGGCTCTCAGGCCCAGTCCCGGCTGGGGACCGTGTAGGTGTCACCCTGTACTAAGACGCAGCTTGTTTGGAGGTGACGGGAGGCCGACGTTGTGGGGTCCGAGACTACAGCTTTTTTTAAAGCCTTGTAGCAAAGTAAACGGTTATCACCGGGGGCTTGCGGAACTGGTTAATACGTAGATCGCTGGCCGCACCCCCAGACCCTCTTAAAGTCGAAAATTTGGAGCAATCTGAATTTTTGAGAGGCGCCCACACCATTCTACGTGATCCCTTACGCACTCAAGTTCGAAAATCGCAGTTCTTTTAGATTCTATCTAAATGAAATCTGTATATTAGAACAAATTGTTTAAAAATGGTAACAAACACAAGTTCAAGAGGAGTGGTTGCCAATTCTACTGAGAATGGTGCAGAATCAGAAGTCTCACCCCAGGACTGAACCAGGATTCAAGGTTTCCTCTACCAACAACTAGTTTCAGGACAGCAGGGACTATGCTTTTACATTTGGAATAAAATGGGGGCGCCTGAGTGTCTCAGTCGGTTGAGCCTCCACCTTGGGCTCAGGTCATGATCCTGGTGTCTTGGGATAGAGTCCCGCATTGGGCTCCCTGATCAGTGGGGAGTCTGCTTCTCCCTCTACCCTATTCCCCTGCTGGTCTGCTTATGATCTCTCTCTCTCTCTCTCTCTCTCACCCTGTCTCTCTCAAATAAATAAAATCTTAAAAACCAATTTGGAATAAAATGGAAATGATAGGGATGCCTAGGTGGCTCAGCTGGTTGGTTAAGCATTTGCCTTCTGCCTAGGTCATGGAGCCTGCTTTTCCCTCTCATGCTGCTGCTCCCCCTGCCTGTGCTCTCTTGTGCATGCTCTCTCTCTCTCTGCCAATAAATAAAATCTTTAAAAAATAATAAAATGGAAAGGATAAAGAAAAAACACCTTCCTATACCAACACATTAACATTAGGGCAGAACTCCCTCACCCATACACAGAATTTTTGCGCTACAGAGATTTTTATGATATGCACAGAATTGTTGGGGGGGATATTGGGTGTCTTATCTGGTTTACACCCAAAACCTTAATTTGGGTGGAGCATATGAATATCTGGATTAAAAGGGTCATGTCCTAAAATATAGCTTGCAAATATATTGTCAGCAATCCCTTCTCTAATATTCTATTCCATTTTCGAGGTGAGCATCCTTCTCCTTATGGGTAAGTATAGGCTAACAGGAAAAAAAATTTGGTTTGTAAAAACAGAAAGGTTGGAGGGGTATTTTGTGAAATTTGTAGTGATGAAAGTGGACAAAAGGCATAAAGATAACTTTTTCCCCATACTCGGGGCTATACCAACTTACTTGAAATTTGGTTCCTGAGCAGAGACACATTTGACTAAAACAAAAATAATAAGCAAGCCATACAATATGGTATTGGCTAGTTAGTAAAATTCTTTTGGAAAAAAAACATTTCATCATTTTAAATATGCATATGACTTAGAAGAAAGATATTTAGTGCTAAGAGTAATCCCCAATTTGATATTAAACCACATATACCAGACTATTGAGTACATGGTCTATGTTTCCTGATGTTTCACAGTATACTACAGGAAGCTGCAGGCAGCAGTGTGGTCTAACTAGCTTTCAAATATAAAGCAATCAGAGCCAGAACATTATGGTCAGACTCTAGCTCTACTACCTAATCTTGGTCAAGTCACTTAATCTGTGTGTGTGTATGGTTTTTAATGTGAAAATACGTAGAATAATATGTTCATCTATTTTTACAGGGTACTTGTAAGAATGAAACTAAAATAGGAAAACACAGAAAACTACACATTGCTGTCTCTGTAACTAAAGAGAACCTCTCCTGGCATTAAATACGGTGATGGAGGGAGAACTTTAGGAAAAGCAAGAAATGAACGAAGAATGGCTGAGTGGCAGTGACGGGGCCAGCAGTTGGATGCTGTCAACTGTTTGTTTTTTTTTTGCAAAGATTTTATTTATTTATTTGACAGAGAGAGACACAGTGAGAGAGGGAACACAAGCAGGGGGAGTGGGAGAGGGAGAAGCAGGCTTCCCGTGGAGCAGGGAGCCCGATGCGGGGCTCGATCCCAGGACCCTGGGATCATGACCTGAGCTGAAGGCAGATGCTTAAGGACTGAGCCACCCAGGTGCCCCTGTTTTTTTTTTTTATTTAAGTTTTATTTATAAGTAATCTCTACACCCCAAGAGGGACTTGAACTCACAACCCAGATCAAAAGTCCCACTCTTCTGATTGAGCTAGCCAGGCACACCAACTGTCAACTATTTTAAAACAGTCTCCAGCACATGTAGCTCTTTGATAGTGGAAACTAAAGAATAAGACTGCTGCAGCTCATATTGCTAGGGTAAAAATAAAAATTTTAAGTCAATGCACTCCTTGTGGAAGAAACAAATATCTGCTATCCGAAAAACAAGTTTCAGGTATTTTTTTAAGACAAGTGATTCAAGTCAGAAATAAAAATATAAAAAGAAAAAAACAGCCTGGTTCTAGACGGCTGTCCTCCTCTAGGAAATGATACCACCGAGAGCAGAGAGGGCCGCATGGCGGCAAGCTCATGGTGCTGGAGTCTGGGACCAGCCTTGCCCAAGGACTCAGAGGCCCCCTGTCCTAGTAAAAACTACAACTCCCAGAAATCCCGGGCCCAGAAGGGGGCGGAACCAACGATGTGTAGGCGGGGCCTTCAGAGCTAGCTGTGAACTTCTCCCGCGAGGAACTTCTCGAGAAGTGGCGGGAGCGGCGGCTATGGAAGCCCAGGAAGAGAAAGAGGCGCAGGTGATGGGGCGGGATCGGGGATTTGTGGCCTCCTGGAGACGGCATCTTTGACACACTCTCCCCGTCCGCGGATCGCCTGGGCACACCATGTTTACTTTTTTCCTACTCCTACTCTGCTGGCCCATCTTTGGTCCCGCCTTCACGACCTGCGAGCCCCACTCTGCTTAGACCCTCGGGAAAGGGCGTTTCCCTTCCTTCCCGGGGCTTTCCTTGCTTGGACTCAGGCTTGGAGAGCCGTTGAGGATCCCCTTGGCACGAGATACCTCTCAGCCGACTGGAGTGGGACTTCCGAATCCAAAGCCACTTTCCAGCCAAGCCTCACCGTTCACTGCTGCTTCCTAGTAGGATTTTCACACCTGACCTTCCTCATCCTGCATCCCTACTCTAGGTGCCTCTGGGTACAGCGGGGCTTTTGGTGTGTTGAGGGCAACTCTTTTTTCAGACTTTGCACCTATAAATATGCTTTGGCACCTTCATACTGAGCTTAAAATCATTCGAGTGATGCAAATTATTAGCCTATACCGCTTTGTAGCTTTAGGGAAGGGTGGATTGTCTTCTGATTTTGTTCATTGGGCTTGCTCACTTGTTTCCTGACATCTGGTATCTATCTCCGTAAAGACAAATTATAATGTGAAGTAAGTAGGTTGCCAGAATATTTCTAGAGAACATTTTGTTTGCTTCTGATCACTTGTTTCTCATATTTGCTTCATGCTATTACAATAAACAAGGCTTATAATACTTGCTTTTCTTTTAATGGTTAGGTTGCTGCGTGGTTGAAAAAAATACATGGAGATCACCCCATTCCACAATATGAGGTGAATGCTCGGACCACGGAGATTTTACATCACCTTTCAGAACGCAACAGGGTTCGGGACAGGGATGTCTACTTGGTAATAGAGGACTTGAAACAGAAAGCAAGTGAATATGAATCAGAAGGTGAGATTAATTACAGAATTTTGAATGAGCTAATAACTCGAGGTAACTACATTTTATAACACCAAAGAATACAAAATTAATTTAGTGTAGGCTGCTTGTTAGTTTTGCTTCTTATTTCACACAGATTTGCCTCCCACTCCATTATATAGCAACTTAATAAGCCATAAATTTAATTATAATGTAAATTTTATTGGTACTCTGATACCATATAGTAACCCCTAAAACATGTATCTAAACTTAGCCTGACATAAAAGCCTTTGGTTTTTCACTTACATATCTTTCTGGTCTGTTTCCGGGCTCCATGCTTTAGTTTAACGAGCCATCAGGACATCTGAGGTGGCAGCCATGAACTGCAACACTTGAACAAATCAGGTTATCACTATGTATTCATAGGATTGCATTAGAATTTTCTGCTGTGCATATGTGTCTTGAAAAAGTACATTCAAGACACCTGTTGTTTTTATAATACAAACTACACACAAAAGAATTGACAAAAACTTTCTATAGGTTGGAATATACAAATGAGCAAGAGAGTGAGACTTACAATTGCCCTGTATTTAATTATGTGTGTGACATGTGTTACATGCAATGTTTTGAATGTAGTACAGTTTATATTGTAATTCTACTATGTATGGGCTTTTTCCAATTTTCTTTTAAAAATCAACATACAGCAGGGTGCCTGGGTGGCTCAGTTGGTTGAGCGACTGCCTTCGGCTCAGGTCATGATCCTAGAGTCCCTGGATCGAGTCCCGCATCGGGCTCCCTGCTCGGCAGGGAGTCTGCTTCTCCCTCTGACCTTCTTCCCTCTCATGCTCTCTCTCTACCATTCTCTCTCTCTCAATAAATAAATAAAAATCTTAAAAAAAATTAACATACAGCAAAATTGACTTTTGGTTTTAATTCACTGCTTTCAGCATATATATTACATTTCTACGATATGTAGATAATATGTATATTATTTTATGCAATTGCTTTTTAAATCAGGAGAAAAAATATGCATGTATGCTCTTTATAATTCTATAGCTACCTTTTCTGATATTCATTGTTTTTTTGTGTGTGCATTCAAGTTATTATTTGGGGTCACTTGCTTTTGGCCCACAGAACTTCCTTTAGAATTTCTTCTAAGTCAGGGGGCGCCTGGGTGGCTCAGATGGTTAAGCGTCTGCCTTCGGCTCAGGTCATGATCCCAGGGTCCTGGGATCGAGTCCTGCATCAGGCTCCCTGCTCCTTGGGAGCCTGCTTCTCCCTCTGCCTCTCTCTCTCTCTCTCTCTCTCTGTCTCTCATGAATAAATAAATAAAAAGTTT